TTATATAAGTTTTAGAGTAATGGAGAAGCCATAAACTGAGTGCCAACTTTGACAAGTGCAAATTTGTAAAGTTCTCTAGGAAAAACGCACCTATTATTTATAATTATTGTATATAATATGTTTTTTGAATTGATATTCACAGGGGACACTGCCTAAAATGATACAAAGTATTAAAATTCAATTTTTTGTATCGACATTATCGTCTCGTTCAATTCCAATCTTTTACGTAGATTATGTACCGGAATGTACTGTCACTTTTGTATGTGGATCATATAATCGAATTACTGTCAATAGTGGTATGTCGGTACACTATATTTTTCAGCAATAAATTATTATTATTATTATCCGTTCTAGAATATGTTATGTGAAATATTAACGAATGCAATAGTAGTAGTAGTTTGTTTCTTATAAGAAGTACTCTGTTTAAACTTTTTACTTGAAAAAATTCACGGACTTGTTTCAGTCTCGTTCAGTTTAGTAGGTGTGACCACGGAAACGATGGTTCACTATACGAGACGTTTAATATTCTACCCTGAGTGTGTGTTCCTTTTCCCGGACATGATAGGCATAAAACAGTTCCTTCCGAAAAAAAAAGTAAAGTTTATGCACAAAATTAAGAGACAGATGTATAGCTACTTCTTTGCCACACCTCCCTGTTAGGTAGTTCCCAATTTCAGTAATAATTTTTTTATCGAAAACGACGTGCTTCGTTTCTGCACGAATTTATAATTTTGGTAAAAATTGTAATAATACAAAAACGTAACTCAATATTCTAGATCAGGTCACAAACAACATTGAGTTAGTGTATAATTCATATAAATAATTTGGATCAACTCAAATTTTCTTTGACGAAGTATCAAGTGTGTACCTAAAAAAAAATAAAAATGATTACAACAAAAATATATTTCCAGATGTCGGGCGTAACTATGATTTAACGTTTAGTGTACAGACTCACGTATATTATTGTATTCGTGAGATATAGACAGTTGTGGATAGTGACCGATGGGTTTTATTTTGGAGCATACGTACGGACTTAATACTGGACCAACCGATGCACAGTGTCACGAAATCAAAAATATGTGGCCAAAATTCTCGATGAGCCTGAATTAGTTACATATAATTTCGATAAAACTGCATTTATTTCGTCTTAAAACATCGTGTGTTAAATTTTGTGATCGCAGAATCAACAAAAATAAGAAATTCATTAGAGTCCACATTATAAAAACTATAATGTTCAATCGTTGTTGATTTTTAATAGTAGGAGTAGTTACTAAATGTAGTTGTAAAAAATTGGTCGAAAGTTGTGTCGACAGAAATTCGCGCGCTCCTGAAGGACAATGAAACATATCCATCATTTTTTCTTTACACAATTTTATGACGACGTCATCAACATTTTTGCAAGTACACGTATATCAACTTGGATTGGTGCCGTGTATTATTAAAAATAACAGTATTGTATTTTCTAAATTTTCTGGGAAAATGGAGTGAGCCGCTCCTGATTTAATCAATAAAATAATGTTTAAGCAAATCTAAAAATTATGAATGTATCGATAAATCACAAGTGAAAACTCATAACATTTTGCACATTTGGGGTAGAATTTATTCGACAAAATTTTGAGCTGATATCATTAATTTTTTAGAGGGGATAGGCAAATTTATGTTAATTACAAATTTATCATGCTTATCACAACTTTAAAACATCTGCAAGATTTCCAAGCATTCGGTTTTGCAGATTCACAATTGTTGTATAATTTTGAACTCAACACGGAGTAATAAACTACATGTGTAGGACTATGTTATTTTATACAATTTAAACCCCATTTATAATATAATAATACAATACCAGTTATAAAAAAGTAATAACCATTATAATATGTATTATAAATGATTCGTGTTTACTTAATATTACAAATCCCTAGTGAGTAATCACTTTTGAAACGCAATTTTACTATTTCTTCATCGGGTGAAATTGTCGATTCCGATTCTTCAAAACTTGACGAATGTATTGTAGTATTTAAAAAAAAAATTGGTGCAGAATTCCCTTAAAGAGGCGATTAAGACAGATCAAAAGACCGAAAAAGCCTACTTAAAAGATTCTGGTTGCTGTCTATTCTGTAAGACTTATGCGTATGATATTGCTGATTTCAAATATCTTTATTTCTAGCTTCTTGTGATTCTTCTATCAACTGTCCAGTAGGAAGCAAAGATTGTCAAATAATAATGATTCTATCAATGACAACTTTATGCACCGTAATAGACATGTTGAGCGATCCATGCATATCCGCAAATAGTTTCGCAGTTTCAATACCATGTACCTTAATTTTGTCTAATTTTATTTAATCTCCGCAAGAAATTGCTCTTAAACCCACAGCAAATATATGAATCAATATTTATTGTATTCTGCTGACATTTTATGATTATTAAAAAATCTTCTTGTAATATTCCCGTCGCTAGAGAATTTTATTAATTAGCTTAAAATAAAGCATATGTATTTACATAAAATTTCTGTATGTGTATTGCAAACATTTTTATAACGGTGCTTAACCAATAAAACATCACTTATATTGTCAAATATTTCCAAAAGGAGGATTTAAAATTTTGGGGGTCTTCACAAACACACTTCTTATTTATGCAACGTGGTGCTTTTTTTTAAGTACATATACTAGCTGTAATATATATGTATGTATAAGTGCATGAAAAAGTACTTACCCTTGAGATATATTTGGGTTTAATTTCAAAGATATCTCTTTAACACAAATCTGAAGAGACACTTTTGAAATAACTCGTCTGCTATCGATCCGTATACAACTGAAGAGTGAAAAGTAGCAAGTTTGTACGCTCTCAGATAATATAAACACTTTTAAAACTAGCAATAACTGTTGGTACATAATCCTTCCCGATATTTGGGCATCTAGAGCAGACAATATTATTCAAAAAAACATATATTTTTCACAATTTTGGCCACGTATTTTCAGTTTCGTCCCGCTGTGCGATGGGTGGAACTGGAAACATTTACTTACTGAACAAGAACCCCCACCGGTGGCTGGATTATGCCTGCCATCATTGGCATCACCACTTTTTTTGCGGAAAACTTCCGTTTACACAGCTCAATGAAAATCTATAGACTACTGTTTCTACCTCATTAAGTTCCATCAGTAGCTACAGCATGTTTTCTTTGAAATTAAAATATTCAATTGAAGTATGCAGTAGCTACTGATTTCGATGCCTCATCTCATTTGGGTTCTTGCGGTGAGTAACGTGTATACACTGTATTTGAACATATGATGACTGTAGCACTTAATTTTGATGCTTCCTCCGTGCGAAGTGTTGGCGAACAAGGACATGCAAAATAAAGAATTTTGTCTATTAAGATTTCGAAAATCCTTGAAGCATAAGAATAATATTAGTCAGAACATAATCACCGCTATGTTATTGTGTATTTAATCAGTGTTACGTATATTTTTTTAAGTTTTTAACAGATTCTGTCTTCTTTGTAGATATGTACTTAGATTAGTTACTTGAAACATATTTAACCTCTGACTGTGAGTTCTCTCAGTAAGGTTACTTTCAGCAGTTGATATGATTTAGCTTGGCGTTTTTCTAACAAAAGTAACAAAGTTATCACAATTTCATATTAGGATGGATCTACATATGGTAGAACGAAAGATATGGTGGACAATAAAAAAACAATTGTGCATCGCTGTAAAATTCAAATACGGGACAATCCCGTGACTTTTACGCTTACCATATTTTTAACGGAAAACATTTCTATAGCTCTCCATTATTTTGGCTTGAGGACTCTTGTATTATGAGTAAATTGAAAAGATTGTTTTGTTCATATTTTGTGGTTGTTGTGGCCCGTAAACCTGTTACAGGAAAGTATAAGTATTTCCTATCATATCACTTTGTAAATGCTTTCACAATGCTTTAAGCAGTAAATGACCGAAAAAGGTCGCTTTTCTTTCCCAAATCGATAATACGAGTGGTACAAATAAAATAAATCCATTCTGTTTTGTCAGGAAAACAGCGTGCTGATTTAATTTTATCACAACCTAATTTCATATACGTTACTTAGACATATATGTAATGCCAACGTTTAGCCTCCCAATCAATTGTGTAGCTTATAATAAATATCACAGTTCAATCGGTTGAGGAAGGTTAGGTGTACGCCAACCTTCGCCTTGCACTCGTCCGTCCGGTGTTAATGATGACTAGCCGACCTTGCCACCGTATCCATCGCAATTTAATCAATCACACTCTTATTCATTAACAATGGACACCAGTAATTGCTAGGGATACCAAAATACGGCACAAAGTACTGCTTATTTTCTTTGTGTACGTGTTCAGCTAACGTGTTTGAGCAAAAAAGAAAATTGTTTAAAGAGAATTGAGGTGCACATGTTTAATTTGAAAGATGTCAGTAGATCGTTTTTATCGTTAATTTTTTGGATCAATTTTTTGTATCTGCGTTTGAAACATCTGAAAAGTGGTGTACGAAATTTTTTTTCTGTTACTTAACTGTGTAGGTGCTGTGATGCAAACAGAAAAAAAAAATAGTACATAATGTGTAAGGTTAAGGTGTTACTAAATGTAGAATGTTAAAAATAGATCTACCAAATTGACGTTGCGAATGCGAAGCTGTTGGATGTGAAATTACTTATTGATGATGTCGGTCGGTCATTTTTTTTAATCCTTTCATTGCTTAATAAATGAAAACAGAATATTTATTTAAAATTCAAATGGTTGAAAACATATCCACTTGCATCGATCGGATTTATTTTGCTGCATAACGTAAAAATATTTGTAATTTACAACTATTTTGTTGGATGTGTGCCTAGCGCTTATCAACTGGAGCACCAGCGCAGTGGTACTTGAAACATTAGCTGGTTGTTGTGGTGGGCTGTGTTTTGGTACATGTTATTTTCGAGTAATACTCTGATTTGAATGAAGACCATACTTGTCGCCTCACTTTATTTAAGCTTTTTTTTTTATTTTTTCAGAAAGGCGGCGAGGATTCTCGGTGCCGATGATTTCCGCAGGACTGGAGGGAAGATTGCCCTATATGACCTATCCTGAACCTTGGCGCGGGCCGCCTAAACAGCCGCCGGAATTTTTGAGACCAGCTCCAAAACCTGTTCCCCCTACCAGGTTTGTTTAGTTAATTTTTTAAATCTGTGATTAATAATAATAAAGTATTTAAATAGTACAACTTAAAAAGCCATTATAGTTTATAAGTATGTAAAGTCAAATGCAGAACGAAAGACGGCATCACGTGGTCTGCGCATAGTGTCATTTTATTTCGTCTATTATTCGTCCGAAAGGAAGAACGTCTTTGCAGTGGCGTGCACCCAGACCTAGGATATATTATTTCTGCCAAATTTAATAAATAGTAGTGATAGTTTTAAGAATGTAATGTAATGATTACAAAATTTAGATTTTCTTATACTCTTACTACGTAACCTTCTTATGCTACAATTGTTGCGCCACTGTGGTCTACAAACCACGCATCATAAGCCCCGCCCATGACCCCTTTCGTTCTGCACTTGACTCTATATACATATATATGTAAAATTTCAAAAAATGCCCACGCGTTTCGCCACCTACGTTGGCATTGTCTAAACAATACTAACCTCAAAAACGTGATAGTGTTATCGACTTACCATACATCGAGACATCGAAGATCTTAAAAAATGGTGGTTCAAATATGAATGTGAATTTAACAATAACTCAGTTTCATTGTAAAAATGTTTGGGCCGTGTTGCCAGTTAATTGCGCACAAATACTTCAACTGCAATATAATCATCTTCAAATCGCTGACCCCCAATAGCTATTTGAGAAGAGACAAAAAAATTACTGTATACTATTATACAGACTATAAGATTGGTTTTCAACGGTTTCCAAGACCATTTTTTGTAGTGCGTCCTTTGTCAACCGCATACAATATGGTCTGACGTTGTTTTGGTGAAGAAGTAGTCTTCGAATGGAAATATCACTTCGTTTTGACCTGTATGGATCTGGTTTGCGTACATAATAGATCAGTGCATTTATTTTGTCAATCAAATAATAATAACCCGCTTGTTCCCCAAAATCATGCTTTTGAAGTACATATTTAATAGTGTCCTGAGAAATGCGTGTTTCCTGGTGTCGTTTTTCTGGAGCTTCTTTGAATATCTTTCACCATATACATTTGTGAAGTTGAGGGATATCTATCCCAAAACTAATTATGCAGTCACACAAATTTTGGATGGTTAAACATTTTCAGCTACTAGAAATTTGATAAGAATGCGCTGAGCATTTATCAACGGCACTTCCTTTGCAGATACAGCTTTAAAATTGTTTAAAAGTAATCACTGCAACTATGACCGCGGTGGTTAGTAACCATTGGGTCAGTTTATAATTCAGTGAAACCACAACTTCGAGATTTCAGTCCGTCTCTTTAAAAAAACAAATTTGCATTCATATTTGAAGTACCCTCTCATTTAGTAATTTTCTGAAAAAACACTATCCAAGTTTTTTCGATTATTTTTAATAAAACGTGAACAGGAAATTACTTCACCACTAGTTGATTCCAAATTTATCATTACTTTAATTGCTAGTTTACATTTGTCAAGATTGAAAATATTCTTTTGTCCTACGAAAGTTGTGTTCGTGAACCCATTATTTGTTCTAATTTAAACATGGTATGTGGAAGATACTTCCATAGTTTGGAGAAAATTCTAGTACAAAAAACTGGTAGAACATTTCTTGCCTCTGAAGCACAATTAGTGCATGTTAGAGCTTATTTTTGACTAAATGTTTGCTTAGTATGTTTTGGTGTCAATAAATATACCTTGTGTCAAAAAAATTTATGAAATGTAGGTAATAAAACCATATCAACAAAATAAATTTTAATCGATGTTTAGGATATTACCAAAATTTAAAAAAGGTTTAGGACGTAGAAATGTCAAATTTCATTCCATAATTTTCGTAAGGTAACTCGTATGCGGAAGGTTAAAAATATTGTCGGTGTTAAATCCCATATAAAGAAAACCATTCAAAATGTTAAAACTTTTTATAAAGAAGCTTATACATAAATAAATTACATTTTTTAATCTGAATGGTTACGATTCTCCTCTTTCATGATTCTTTCTTCGGTTGATACTGATTGTTCCTCCTTAATCTAATTGTTAATCAGATGCCGGTTAGAACCTGAATGTGTGAAGTACGCATGTTTGTAGTTTCCAATGACACATTTCCAGGGACAAGTTGAAACGTGTTTGTAATAACAACTGCTTCAAGGGGCATATATTCATGTCAAATTGTAACAATTAAAAATCACGATTTTTATTTTGGAAATGTACAGAATGTGTCACCGGAACCGACATTTTACAAAAAGTAAAAATCATGTTACTGAGTAATTATTAAAATTCGAATTAAAAAGTGATGTGTGGATAATAATAATAATAATAATGCAGAACCGTGTAGTTACGTTTTAAATATGTAGTATTTTAGTTTCAAAAGGAAAGCATATAATATTATCGGTCTGTCTCAATTTATGGCCCTGAGTATTTGTAATGGTCGAGGTTACGTTAATATCCTTTGTGGGTATACGGAGAACGTATGAGTAAGCACTTAACGATGCGCATTCTTGCTAATTCAGCTATTTACGCTGTTTCATATTCGGATCTAGCATATAACTTGTAGCTTTCAATTTTGTTCCTGCCTTAAGTTTAAGAAATCAAAGTAAAGAAAACAAGCTGTTCTTATTTGATTTGGAACATGCAATGAGCTCATGCTTGGAGAAGTGTGGTAATAATGTTATCTGTTTCTATCCGTCCGTCATCTGTCTGCCGGTGGTTTGCCTGTTGAAAATTTATTAGACACTTTACACCTACATTTTGAAATTTTACGTTTATCTTGAAGTTATAGTAAAGGCAATGAAATGCTGTCTAAATTAAATGGAATCATCTCGTCTAAAAATTTATAAAATAAATCTCACCTGAAATGTAGGGTGTGACGTGGATCATTACTTGTGGTTTAATAGTGTACTTCTATTTTTAACTTTACGTACACAGGTTATCCTAAAAAAAAACTGAATTTGATCATCAGATTTTACAGTTTATCTTCGAGTTTGCGTAATAAGTTTCATAGAAATCGCAGAATTTTGAAGTATTGTAGGATTTAAATAAAATTCATCTTAGAAAAAATTATAAAATTTCATAATATATGAATCTCACATGACATTTGCAGCGTAACTGACTCATTTACTTGTTTAATAATCTAACTGTCTTTAAGTTAACGCATATCGGTTATTACAAAAATTAAACATGTATAATTATATATGTTATATATAATATATCTACTACAATATTTTTATTGATAAATGTTGTTGACGCAAAAAAATTAATCCTTGAAATTGTTTTAAAAACGGAAATACTACGGTTTGATATAGCTTATTAGCCAGATAATCTCTGAAATGATTACATTGAAATTGTAAGTGTATATTTAGGTTATCGTAAAGCTGTAAATCGCTAACCAAAATTGATTTATTCGTTCCAAAAAGCGTATAAAAATTAAATAAATTTCACTCGAAGTAGACATGAACCTTTATTTGAGGTTTAATTTTTATTTAATGCGTATGCGGGTTTTTCTAAGAAATGCAATAATTTAATGTACTATTAAATCTTACAATTAAGTTACGAAACACGAAACAATATTCATTGATCGTGGACAGTAATAAACATACAGGTTGTTCCGTTTGTGATTACACAGACCAAAGCTTTGTTTTTGCACACTGAGATTCTTTATAAAACAAGGCTTTTTTAGTCAGCAGCAAATATTTTTATTACATCATAGCTTGTCACTGCAGTGTAGTCATGGCGGTGGTCTAGCTCAAAGGATGAAAAAATATGTAAAAGGGTGAGCAGAAAGTTCTGTAGGAAGTGTATAAAATGTGAAGATTATTTTTATAAAAGTTACATCCAAGTTATAAAAAATTGGTGTAAGGTATTAGACAGAAATTCCCTCCCCCTTGAAGTACAGTTCAATTAATTCAGGTTTTTTAAAAAATTATAAAATTTACTTTTGCGACTTGTACAGGTAGAGAAGCATGTTATCCGTGTTTCAAGCGCGTTTTTCCATTAAAGAAGTTTTATTATTTTATCAAGGACAAGTATATCCATTTGAATAGGTGTACTAATAGCAATAATAGTGTACTGTTGGGGTAAACCATTCTTGATTTGATCAACAGAATAAATTGCTTCATTCATTTATTTTTGAATCACCTTCTACAAGCAATTCTAAAAATATGAATATATTGATAAACCACAAGTGTCAGTTTTTAATACGCACTTTAGATAGGATACCCTATACACGACAATACATATAAAATTTCATAATAATAATCAGTTCAGTAGCTTCAGAGAAAATCTGTCTTATAAAATCGACATAGACGACAAACAGACACAATCGGAAACAGGAACCCATTTTTCATACCTTTAGATCATGAAACGTCGAGAAAACATTAAAGCTTGAGAAGTAATATAACCTCCCAAAAAATTTAATTAAATCGTAAGAGTAAAAATGTGAAACATCCAAATGTTTATCACGAAATGGCCAATTATTGGAAAGTAAAGAGAAAAAAAAAACATTGTATTTCTTGGAGGTAGATCTTGCAACTTTTGCTGTACTAATAGATCGGGGGAAGTATTTGTAACGTGGAACATGTGTGCGGTTTACGATCATATGCATATGCTGTGATGTGTTGTTACGAATGTGGTGGTTTTAACCATGTTAGCAAGGATTGCAAAGTGGAAGATGCATGCCCAAATTTTGGAGACTAAATAACTACTTAATAAGAAATAAAGAACTGTCCTTTGGATCAAATTTGTTTAATGTTTTAGAACGAATAAGAGTATTGGAAATGCCGATTTAATGTAAACTACTCTCTACTACTAAAGTATTAAGAATGAGATATAACAATCAAAATCAAAGGAGCGTGAAATATCTATTCTATTCTTAAGTATATAATATATTTGGAATAAACAAAATTTGTTGAAAGTTTGATAGGTAAACAAATTAGTATCTTGTGCCTTGTAGAACATTGGATAAATTATGACGAAGCAGACACATTTCATCTAGCAAATTTTATTTAGTGACTTACTTTTCAAGAACAGAGAATATTCGGGGACGGTCAGTGACTTTCATAAATAATAATACGGTATATAATAGCTTCAAAAATATTTTTTCTTAAAGTACTGAAATTGTTGTGAAATAAGCTGTTAATAACTCATTAGTTATTAACAGCTTATTTCACAACATTTTTAGAGGTACATAATAATTAGTACATATCTATCGTGCATCCAATGGAAATCTCGATAATTTTCTAGAAAGTATTTGATCTTATTGACTATAAATCGAAAAATGTAATTTTTTTTGTAATAGTTACGGGTTACATACTGTAATTTATTTTAAGGAACATTCTGGATAATGTTTTTATAAAAATGTATACAACTTTCGCATATCTTTATTGATATATATTTCTCTTTATAAATGTTTCGGCAGATATAGTAACTTCGTTACCTAAATCAGAATTAGATCCTGTTGGTATTGTGTCGACGCATGCAATAATTACATCTAGTAAATCCAATTTTAAGACAGTTAGTCAAATACAATTCGTAATGCTATTGAAGTATTGAAAAATACATCACGTAAAGACATCTTTGGCTTGAATATTAAAATTATTAAAGTTTTTCAGACGTAGTGATTCCACTGCTAAGAAAATTAATCAATGAACGTGTTGTTACCAGTACTTTCCCGGATTGTATAAAAACAGCGCTAGTGACACCCATTTTAAAAAAAGGCAATGTTAACAAATTAACGAAGTGGGCAATCGTAGACCAGTTTCGCTACTGTTGGTATTTTCGAAGACCTTAAAAATTGTTGTTACAACAATTATCCGTCATTTCAGTGAAAATAAACTGTTCACTAATAAGCAATTTGGTTTTAGAAAAGTTTTATCCACTGAATCGGCTATTATTATTAACAATATTATTACTGTTTTCGACAAAGGAGATTATATCATATGATCATTTTTTTATTTAAAGAAAGCTTTTGACCGCATCTCACACGAGACACCGTTACCCAAGCTCTACTTTTATAAATTTAATCCTAGAAGTGCAGCATTTCTTTCATCATACTTATTTGTCAAATAAACAACAAAAGCTTGAAGGAATCATATCTTCAGCAAGGTGTATAGCTTCGAGGCTGTATTATGGGATGAACACTTCTTACTTTACATTAATTCAAAGTCACGACGATATGGTAAGTACATATTAATTTGTGGCGGTTCACCAATTCTAAATAAATTGTTCAAAATACACCTTAGTACTATGAAGGTGATATCAAACCGATTATCGGAAGGAATGTAGGAAATAGATTTGAAAAATACTAACTTTACCAAGTTTATATATTTATTATTGTGTAAATTGCGTCTTCCAGAGTATATCCCTATACAAAATTTTGAGTTTTGAAAATTTTAGAATTCATCGTACTAATTTATTTTAGTATAAAATTTTTCAACAAACTGCCACTACATTTAAGAAACTTAACTTTTGTAGAGTAAATTTGAAAATTGATACATAGTATGTTCATGTTACATACTAAATTTGTATTAAGTTCGTCATTCAGAATTTTGAGTATTAAATAACTTCCATCACTTGGAATTTTACCGCAGTTCGGTCACGGATTAGAAATAGATCGCAATTAAGACAGGCCGCTTCTACATCTGTATCTTAAATACAAGAAATAACGTGTAAATATCTGTTAAGTTTTAGAGTTCAGAGGCGTGGACAAAATTTCTTTTGCCATTTACAAGACTGTTAAATTAACAAAATTTTCGAAATTTAACGATTCATCTTAATATAGATATAAGTAGCCATCACTTGGTCGCAAATTAGCGGTAGAAAATAAGTGATTTTCTCGCCTATTATTATCAAAGAAAAAAAACAAGTTTCGATGTTACGTATGTAAAAATATGATGGATCGTTTTAAGTTATTAAAGTTATTCCATTGTAAAAACCAGTGTGAATGTTATATAAAACCAGTGGTGAACTACCATCTCAATAAAAAACAAATGCATAATTGACCAGATTCATTTGTAAGACGAACGTCATATAATCACACGTTAACTAGATTTCATGAATATTCAAACGGATACTGTCACTGAAAAAGATCGCAGATAAAATTTCGCACTCGAACAAAAGAAAATATTTGAACTTAATATACTTAAATTTAACCCACTCGCTAGTTTCGTTTTTCAAGTGCGGTAGGGACTATTAAGTAAGAAAAAAATGGGTCTTAGTTTATTTACACAAAACTTCCCTCGCCCCTAAAATACGGTTCACCGAATCCCGCTTCTCCGAAAAATTATAAAATGCGACGTTAGGAAATTTAATTTTTTTATGATAAGCCCATTAAGTTAAAAACATGATTTAAGGTTATTTAGATAGAATTTCCTTCGATTCTTCAATACGATCGAGCAAATCCAGGTTTTTCGAAAAATGATAAAATTTTATTTATTCTATGAAAACCCCTACAATGCGCAAGTTTTAATTTTTAAATGTGTTGTACGTATTGCTGTTTCACTTGTATATACCTAGACTGTTATCATTATTTTTGTTAGATTTATGAATTACTCGTTTCTTACTTCCCGAGCGTAAACTAAGGAAGTAGTATAATCAAATCGATCGGGTGACTAGCTACTTTCATATTTTCTTGACGTTTTATGAATTCTGGAGTACGAAGAATCAATTGATAACGTCATCTCAAAATTTTGTCGAATGAATCCTCTCTGAAATTGCAAAATATTATGACTGTTTATTTGTGGTTTATCAACGCACTTATAGTTTTTAGAATATAGAGGGTGATTAAAAAACTTAGTGAGAGTCACTTTATTTTATTGATTAAATCAGGAACTGCGCAACCGAATGCTTTTTTGAAATCTTGCAGACGTTTTAAACTTATCGTAAGCGTGGTAAATTTTTTATAAAAATGTATCTGTTTATCCCCCTCAAAAATTGATGATGTCTCAAAATTGTGGCGAATAAATCTTATCCAAAGTGTGCAAAATATGAGGAGTGTATACTTGTGATTTATCATTGCATTAAAAGTTTTTAAATTTCTTATACAATGTGTACATAAAACTTAATGAATGAGTCAGTTTATTTTATTGATTAAATCGGGAACGGCTCACTCCATTTCCAAGAGAATTTGGGAATACAATACTGTAATCATTAGTATTCCACTACACATATCCAAAGTGATATACGTGTCTTTACAAAAATGATGAAGTCTTCACAAAATTTTGTTACGTGCGCATAGCATGTTTATTTACATTTAATTTAACGTTACATACATAACTATCTCTATTTTAACTTACAAGTGTTTTCTTACAAAAATAAAATTCGTATAATCAGATTTTATGATTTTTCGAAAAATCTGGGTTTGTTTTATTGTATTTCGGGGGCGAGGGAAGTTCTGTGGAAATTCGACATTCGACCATTTTTTTTCTGTATAAAATCTGACAAATTATTTATTATTCATTATTTATTGCACAACTAAATCATTGTTAACTGATTCTTTAATTTGCAGCCGTTATAATGGGGTAAACACATCGCCCAATGGAATGCGACTAACACCAGCACAACATACTATCAGCAAATATCCGTCTCCCCCATCAATATCAACTCCAGTAAATCTCACCCAACACAAAGATGAAATTGTCGAAGAGCTTCCATATTACAGGCTGTACCCAACTCCACCACATATATCCCATTTTCCTCAATTCACGACAATGTATCAGAGTCACTACCCGCCAATGATACGACCAACTTTTCCCACAACTTCGTTGCAACCTTTGGAGACTTATTCTCCAACCACCCCAACTGCAATCACTTCTTCAACGTTCCTGTCACCCCCGTCCACGTTTAGTCCTCCGTCGCCCGTAAAGTCTGGCCAAAGCGTTTTGAGAGACAAGAGGGTTCCCTCTCAAACCGCACAGACCACAACACAAGTTCAGTCCAGCCATCAGTCGGTAGCCTTTAAAGTACCATCGGGTAAAGAAGGTTCTTTAAAGCATCGGATACTCACAAGGCCGGAGGATGGCAGCAGAAATCTTGCACCGTTAGATTTACAAAAACCTGCGGAAATATCAAGAAGAAGACTCAATGCGACGATGTCGCCACCTAGGTCACCCAAAAAATCTATAAATAATAATAATACGGTTCCAAACAATTTCTCTAAAGGATGTCTGATTCAACTTACAAATGGCGAGTTGCGGAAGATTGAGGATATGCGAACAGAAGATTTTGTATCTTCAGCGGAACACAGCCCTGAACTGCGACTGGCGGAAAGTACCGTTGTTAGAATAGAAGAAAACCACGTAAATGGAACTGCCACTATTACGCTTAGCTACAACCAGAGACGCACACAGGTAATACAAATAAGTTAAAAAAGCATGCATAGTCGTCGCCTCAAAAATGCAATGGTGTTGCCGCCTATTTTTTTTTTTTTTTCAATAGACCTTACTTTAAAAAGAAATAAACGTATTAATTTTGATAAAATAACTAAAGTGCCAATCAATCTCCAGAGTTGGTCTTCTTTCATAAACGCAGCTCTAGGGTTAACCTTTGGTGCAATGGTGACCTTAAACTTTTCTTAGAAAAGGTTTCATGTTCTCAAACCGCAGGTGTTCATTAGAAGCGTGCACGTATAAATAGAGGAGTAGGTATGTATTTTTATGGTTTGCTGATGTCATCACCAAACGACTATGTGACCACTTTAATAACTAGTTTTGAAGAAAAGGTGGATTGCACACAACACAAAGGAAAAACCATGCTTTAAAAAAATGTCCGACGAGACAATGTCATGAACCGTGAAGTGTATTTACGACAATTAGTTGTTTGCTGTATCAGAAAACACGAGTGAGATGAGTCACGTACTACTGTTTATTCAACTTTGAAGATGTAGTAATCTAATAATATCTAATACCAAGAGCACAAGATATTATTGAGTAAGAAGAAAAAGTTTGTAGTATTTTTTCAGTGAAGTAGTTGCTTATTTAAAATTTAGAATGGCATCTAATTTTAAACCGTGGTCTTTGCCAGTAGTAACATCGATAGTAATGTCTTTTTTTTTGGCATAGCTTTGATATCGTAAATTTGTAAATACATGGATTAAAATAGTTCGAGACCAGGCTTATGTGTAAAAATAGTAACCAACGCCAGTGGTATCTACAAAAATATGTATGTTAGCGTAAAAATTCAATTTCATTAAATTTGTTGAATGTTCCCGCTTGTTGTAATACAGACTTACTAATAAACATGTCACAGGCTTGTTAAGCACAATTATACAGGAGTAATATTACATCTATTATAAAATTTGCTCACCTACATATAAATAAAACAATAAATTTTGCCCCGCATAACAGTCATTATTTTTATTTTATTACTCCTAAAAAAAAAAAACAATTTTTGCATAGTAATAAATTATTCATTTCAAATCTGATTGTTCTTGTGTCCATATATAAATTCAAATTTTTTTAGGAATTCAACCGTGAGAGACGTAGAGTTTGTGTTTCTGACTCATTATTTCTGAAATTGGATTATTGTATTACTGTAATGAAACCAAAATTTTGGATTTTGTATTCCGTTATAAATATGTTACTCTGACCTCTGAATTCAATTGCATAGGGTGTCATAATCAGTGTGAACATGTTTAAAAACTTATAGAATGTATAATTTGTCGTTTAATTATTTACATTTACTAATTTTTGTTTTATTAATACTAAAAACTGAAAAAAAACTGACCACATAGAAGGGAATATGATTTAGAAAATGTTCTTAGAATTCATAAAATTATCTAATAACGAAACATAAGTCTTAGGTTTCTCTGTCGAGATGTTGAATGCGATGTAGGAATGGTAATTATTGTATTTGTTACAGTAATTGATAATTTAAAGTGTAGTAAGTGTTTTAAAGACGCAAAATAGTCGGTGTAAATACAGACTACCTCCCGGTACCGGTAGCCAGTTTTATACGCGTTAACGTGGTAACTTACCAATACTTTCTTAAATTCAGATGTACATTTATCATGTTATTAACATATACAACGAAGATTCGTGCAGTGGTAAAAATCAGATAATCGGTATAAGGATTTTGCAAATACTCCGTTAATATTTTTATCTCAAATATCAGGCTTTAATTTCTACATTTTTCTGAATTTCGAAACCGAGTGTTTTCATCGCATAGAAACGCTTCCCGGGATGAAACTGTTTGCTGGTACTCGAAGACGTTTTGTGCATATAAGTTTTAGAAAAATCTCTAGTGACATCAAAGGTCAATAAATAGCTTCGTATATGTCTATAATTATCCAGAGTATGCTCTGGATAATAAGGGAGTAATAATAAATAATACGATCAGAGAGACGCAGGGTGTCAACAGACAAGTTCTTTGATCGCGCAAGTGGAATGTTTCGAGTACAAATCTCGTAGTACTCCACACCCAATCGCAACAGAAAAGAAGCGATTCTGTTCCGGGGCCCGATGTCCTTGAACGACCCAGGCCTACTCTTGGGTTACAAACACAAGTAAACGTTCTCCTTTTCGAATCACCCAGCAACAACTCCTGGTTGTAAAGATGATGAATTCTGTTAAATTTATAGGCAGGTAATATCAGAGAAAATTGGTGGAGTTTTTGCTACCACAAAAAGTCCAATTACTTTGAGAGTGGTACCTACTGTCAAGTTCATAAACGGAAAGTTGTTGGAGTTCAGTCGCGTTCAGAAAGATCACCGACCTTGCCGGGGGCATCCTCAGCATGCTATTCGACTCAATGGAATGTTTCAGTGATAGATGCAAATTCATCTTTATTTCGATGTTTCATGTTCCATAGCTCTGTAAATAAGTTGTGCATGTGTGTGATGTATTTAACAATTTTTTTATAATTCTGAAAATTATTACGTACTTAACTGAAGCAACTGGTTTAATGACTTTTTGCATCGAAACTGATTGCTTAATAGTTCACATAAATAATTGCATATTTTATAGTATCGCTTCTTTTAGCAGTTATTAATTATGTATGTTGCGACATTAAATGTACTTCATAAAGGATCAGTATCCATTGAAATCATTATCATTTTCGGTAGACCATTTGTTGGCAGTTACAATGAGAACTACATTTGCACCAATGAAAAAAAATAATGTGTAATTATACTTCAATTAAGGCTACTATATACAATCATTTTTCGGGTTTTTTTTTTCCATTTTGCTCGTCGTTACGTGCACTGAAAATATTCTATCTATGGAACAATAAACGCTCTTTTCATAATGCTGTATACAAAATGTCAATTAATTTTTACCATAACTCTATGTACAAGAATTTGTTTCTTCTGAGAAATATTAAACCTTTCTGCTCAAACATTTTACGAATCTGATATGATATTTTTCACCTTCCTTGTTGGAGTTATTACAATGAGGCGATAGTTTAGTTCTTTTTTTTGTAATTATTTAGTTATAATATTATTTATTACAACGTATCTAACGTAAACAACAAATTTCTATTCAACAATTTCTGTTGCTGAGTGCATGCAGCATTGAACAAACTATTAAATTATACTTTCTAAATGGTACTCCTGTTGTAATTTCAGTATTTGAAAAGATTATTGTTTTCTCACTATAACATGAAGTTTTCACCAGATTGCCTGAGAAGTTAAGTTTATTTTTAAAATTTCAGATATGAAATGGTATTTTTGCCCAAGAGTAGTTAGCTCACTTGACATAACATGATGTGATCATAGAGAAAAGAAATTTTTAAGTCATATTAACTTAAATGAAAATGGCAAATCCATCTCCCGCACATATGAGCACGGTATTTTGTTAATGTTATTTATTTTTCCTTTCAAAATTCTCGATACTTCTTAGAATTTCATACTTCGTATACATTTTTGTAAGTACAAAGTCAACTTGTCTATCAGTTTTTGGTGACTTTACAAAAAGTGTCAAGTTATAACTTTCAGTGGTCTCGGCTTCAGGCGGTTAACTCATTTGCTTATTACCAGTATTAAACCAAACATTAAAAGAACGTTACGTTGTATTAATTTCAGGAAAATCAAACGAAATATTTTTGTAGTAGATAACAAAAATATGGAGATAGTGGGGATAATTGAAACGAATGTTGTACCATTAAGAGTCTACGTAGCGTAAATTGTATTGTGTTGATAGTATAGTATTAACACAGCGGATCTTTAATAACATGTAAAGAATAATGTAATAACAAAAAAAATCGATGTTTTGTATTCATTAAATCAATGTTGGTATATTTAAATTCGAAAGGTTCTTAGTGTAGATTCTAGAACAAGTTGTAAAATTTCACTCTACAAATTTTATTGTTTTTTTTATTACAACCCGTGCGCGTAAGGTTAAAAATATTGAGACAAATTTTGGTTAGGCTTATTACGATATGTACTATAATAATGAAATACTCAAATCTCACACTAAGTCAATTGGAAATAACCTGTTTAAGAAATCTGCCATCAGGCAGACGGAAACCGAATACCAACATTTTCGTTGAACTAGTATGAGCTGTGAGATATCGACACAACATAAAATTAGACGTTGATCAAAATAACCCTTTTACAGTCCTTCCCTAACCCACTCTCGGAAAGTAAAAAGTGTTTGTTGGTCCCATCTATAACTATTAGAATAGTAGTATTGTTCTGCACCCTACTTTCTTAATAAAATTGGTTAATTTATTTAATTTAATGTTCATTGATTTGACATAACACTTTTGCATTTGACTATTTCCAGTAAATCCACATTTGATACCCTTATGGTTAATATCAGTATCATTGATTTATTCCACTCGGTTGTAAAGAAATGTCATAACGAAGTGACTGCACTGTTTGCAATAACTTCAGAATTATTCTAAACAACACTCTTGTCTTATTTCATTCAAGTTTTTTATAAATACAAACAGTTTTATTGCTTTTAACTTAACTCGTCCAAATCCGGTTATCCAGGTACGAAATGACACCGAAAACTGCGTTTTATTATCGCTGTTAATGGTAAATTTTAATGTTTATATACCTACTCTCGTGGACAAAAATATGGAACATTTTTATTAATATTAATTTTAAAAATAAATATACTTATAATGCAATGTAAAAGAGAGATCAATCAGGCCATGTAAAAATGTGTATTGTAGATAATAAAATTATGTCGCTCAAAAAGTCGTACAAGCCCCATGGTTGATTTTGAAGTTTGCTGTAAGACAAATTTATGAAAATCTCAAAAATTCCTTATTTTTGTCATGGAACGCAATATTCATTTTAATGAACATAGAACAGTGGGGACTGTTGTTTAAAGAGAAAAATAACTTCTGAATAAATATTGTTCGACCTAATTTAGAAGACATGTTTATTTTTGAACTGTAAATTATGATCCGTTCTAATAGTAAATTTTATTTTTTAGGTTGAATTCGAATCCACGATAGAACACCCCTTTTTCGTGTTCGGCCAAGGGTGGGCATCTTGCAGTCCTGAACGGACGCAACACTGTTACCGATTGAAGGTACATCGTCTACAGGTGGGTGATATTTTGATCTCCTTGACGCCAAGGGAACCTCTCGTCCCTCCTGCGAATACACGCAGCACGACTATCATGACGACAGCAACAAGCACAGCGATGACAGTACGACAGTTGTCCCTGGACAGTATACCCAAATTGCACCATGAAGCCGACCAGTTAACAAATAGTCAAATACACCCCATCAATTTACACACTACAAGCCATCCACCACACACGATGTCGCCTGATAATGGCTTATCATTACGAAAAAGGTCCGCTCCTGATCAAATCTGTGATGAAGAACAGCATTCAATGAGAAGGCATAGAATAGAATGAAATTTAGTTATTATTAGGTACTACAAGGTGATTGTGAAAAGAACTGATTAATTAATTCACCGTGAAATAGACTGTTTTTTAATGTTGTAAAGTTTATGGATCACTGCGGTGATCTGTTACTTGCTTCTGAGATGATATTATCCCGCCTTGTTAGCTCATGTTGAAATAATCCGTTAAATACAACCAAGACAATCCCAGCCGGACCATGAAAATGCCATTTATCATCACTCTGATGAACTATAAGTATACAGTGAATGTGTTTTTTTTTTAATTTATAATTTTGTGTTAAATATGGTGCTATCGAAAATAATCGGATATTAATCACCCTTGATTCTAGTGTGGTATGTTACTGATTAAATGTTAATAGTTGCCGACATGTGTTACAAAAAAACAAGTGCGTCCATATCATCATCATCATCATCATACTTCAAATAGAGGTGACTTTGATCAATAGTATTTTCAGTTATGCCTTGGCAGTGCCAATTAACAGTATAACGTTTTTTCAATATCTGCGTGTTTTTTTAAATCTTACAAAAATAGGGTTGCCCCTGATAAAACTTATAATTTCATTATAAATTTTATCATTAATTCTAGAAGTAGCTTGTGTGAAATTTGTTTGATATATACAGCATTTCTGGCAAATACTGTGTAAAAATAACTTCATACATGTAGTTTTGGTGCCAGTTTTGACAGCGTTTGTCGGTTTTTTTTTTAAATATATGAAATTCATAGAGTGTTTCATCATATCTCCTTGATCAAGTTACCTTAACGTACTCTGTATAAATCTATAGAAAGCATACTTCATATAATTTCAAGTTTCTGCGAAAATGAAAAGAATGTTTGTTTCCTTTGTGCATCAAGAGTATGTTTCAGTTCAAATGTGCCTTGTTTTTAATTTTAGTTTCAGTTAAAGTTGATATGAAACATCCTGTATATATAGTTCATGTTGATAAATTTTCGTGTTACAGTTGGGATCAGAAAAGTTAGCAAATTCAATATTGCTCTCTATTGATTGTTAACAAAGAATGTTGAACTTGCCAAAATGCGAACACAGACGTGTTGCCGCCTACTGGGCTGGTGAAATTGATATTATGAAATCAGCACTTAAAAATATTGTACATTTGTAAATAATGTTGGGTAAAAGGGTTCTTTCTAAAATAGCAAGTTCATATTAGGAGTGATTGTTGTTTTGCACTTCGAATCATCTTTTGGGCGTAAAAGTGTAAACAACATTAATCCTCTGTTAACTGTGTTAGTGCAATGGAATTATCTGCAACACAAGTTAGATTTCTCATGACAATATAAGACAGGGCAGGATGTAACATACGTCACTGTGCTGATTATGAACTGGAGTATTATAAAGAGTGATATGTACTGACAAGAACAGTCGATTTAAAAGGAAGTTTTGAATACGTAGAGGACTATGTAGTATGGAAACTGCTACTGTCGATCTCAAAAAGAGTTGTGTGATAGAAATGCTTTTAATGTTGTTCACAAAGATCTGTATTTTATTTACTATAAATTTTCATAAAAATGATCATGCACGAACTGATGTAAAACAATAACGCCATATTCTTCCCACACATTTTAAGTAATTTCTAGTTTGGAAATTTTGTGGTAAATTGGCGCTATTGCTTTTATTATTGTATACCTAGTTGTATACCTTAGCGTTCGTTACTTATGTAAATTTTTACTCTAGAGTATTGAAAATAACAATTATTGATTATCTTGAGTGAGAGGAATCAAACCTTATTGCTTTTTAATGTTGTTTATATTGATTTCCATGTGAATTCTTGGCTGTGATACAGTAAAGTATGTGGAATGAACGACACTTCCCTCCATGTCTTTATCTTAAAGAGCGTAATTATTATTACAAGTGTGAATTGTACGTTTATTATTAGATTATTGTAACATATACCTCACTCTGTGCTTTTTCCATATTTGATTATATTCTGGAATGCATGTAATTCAAAACGTTGAAGTAATTATGTTATATTTGGTAACAAGAATTGTTATGTATGTTATTTATTATTGTCGTGTATATACAGAATGTCTTAGATAAATTGATTTCAGTGTTAAGTTATTTTAAGAACTTTAGAGGACGTTAAATTTAATGAAGCATAAATCACTGTTAACAAACGCATTCAAAGTCGGTAACAAATTAAATTTTGTTTACATTGCTATTGCTGCATATTAAAAGTTTTGAAAACGGTTCTATAAAAGAAATATATGCCATTATTGATCCAAATGATTTATCGTCATATATAATTTGCATTACGTGTGCAGATCCTACTCATTTCTTTTATTATGAGCCATGAAGACCACAAAATATACTCCAGAAAGCCTGTCAGTCAGTAACGAGCGCATCCTTACCACGAACTTTAACATAAGACGAATATTTGGCTAAACTATACTCACAGGTACCTACATAGTACTCTGTAGAGATTGTTATTAGTTTAATCTTCGTCTTTATCGGGCGTGTTAGAGTGAAGAACTCTGTTAGTATTCACTAACAGACTTTTTAAAGTATTATAGTTTTTAATGTGCAGTAATAGGATTTAATATCATTTTAAAAACTCGCAAGTTTGCTAATCACAGATATCATTAATAAATGCAATAATTCTTTCTGCAAAAATTTTTATTTCAGCTATATTTTGTATAAGTAATAAGTACAATAAAGTAGTTTATTATATTTGGCGTCCTCATCAATGTATGTAATAATTAAGTAAATGTGATGTTATATGTAATTTGTTGGGCATTCTGTGATATTTGCCTTCAAAATTTTTACAGGAATTTAATAATCAGTATTCTGTAATAATGTTTACTGTTGGAACTGTTCAATTTTTTCTCTACCAATTCTTTTTGCCAAAACGTTTAAAATTGTTTAATAAAATTTAGTAAGCTCAAGTAAATCAGCAACAGAGTTATATTGTTAATGTATTAATTTTAAAGAAACTAAATGGTAAGAAAGCGTATATATAAATTGAAGAGAAGACAATGATTATTGAAGTGCCTTGAATGAAGGCTTTGTCCTTCTAGAATGTTATTTACCTATGTAGAGGATCTATGAAACAAGCTAACAGAAGTGTACAGAAACATATATATTATTTTACAGATACATGTACAGTGTGCCATGTTGTTGAATTGTAAGGCCGGATGGCAGTGCAGTCAAAACCAATAAAATATATGATATGTAATATTTTTGTTTTAATCATGCATGTGAGTTAAGAGGAACGAGCCGCAAATGGTGAGTAAAAATAAGCTAGACGTTTTCATTTCATACTTAATACAATGAATGGTCTGATTTTTTACAAGCAAAATTTGTCTTATCACAACTACACGTTGAAACAAAAATCGTTAGAATGAGTGCGATTTTCCAAAAGCAAGAATTTAGGTTTATTTGATTAGATTCAGATAAATTTAAATAAGAGGTTAATTGCAAAGAGAAATTAGTTGATAGGTACCAGTTTCTAAATTTAGCTGAAAAAATAAACGGCACTTTAAAGAGTTATAGAATTGAAATAAAGTGATCTTAATTGCTTGAGTGTGAATTGTCAATTCCAAACTATTTTTCTGGACAATATGTTTGAATTAATTCATGTATACAAAATTGTATTTGTTGAGAAATGCTCTAGTTGTCTGTAAAACATATTATAATTAAAAATGGATCTTTATAACGTTTCCTGTTTTAGTATTATATCAAAAACAAATAAATTCTGTTATATGAATATAATCCAAAATAATTAAATAGATTTTAACCACACAATGATAAATAATAGAGCGAACAGGTGCAGTAGTTGGCAATTAACTACTCATGTATTTACTGCGCTCCCATAAGTAATTCCTCGTGACTTTTAGCATTAAGAGGCTAAAATAAATCTCATGAATTTAACTAATCGCGTCATGTAAATTATTACTTTTTCGTTCACTTCAACCACCTGATCAATGTTGATTGTTACTATTGCAATAAATTTATTTGTTTGTATTAAATTCCATTATTGCGGTGCGGTGGTAGTATAACGTTTAGAAAAATTAAAATCCATATTAGATGGCATCACTTTATTTTATAAATAGTCAGTTACAAAATCATTATGTAATTAACGAAACTATACATATAACATTATAAAATAAAGTCAGATTTCTGAACTTTCAACATCCTTGGTAGCTTAATATTTGCGTACCAATTCAAACTTGGGACCCTGCAAAAAATCAGAAGATCCATCATCCACTAAATTAATTCGTCCGACTTTTTTGTAATCTTCTGAACTTTGCTGTTGTAATGGAGTTAATAGACACGGTCATATTAGGAATGTCTTTTGTGGTACCTAATGTTTATATTTACAACTAAAAAACTCTATCTTGATAACCGCTGTCTTGTACCGCTGAAGTGGTTGGTCGAGGTAATGAATGATGTCTCATCTGGGTCGGCCGTCTTGGAGGAGCCAAAAATTCGAACATACTCTGCGTGTGATTGGCTAACATTTTACCCAAGTCACAGGGCATTGGATCAGTCCAGAAAAAATCATGATTCAAAGCAGTATCTGCATCTGCTCGTTTGGAAGGATCAAGAACCAAGAGCTTGTCTAATAAATCACAGGCGTAAGGATCTTTCATATAATGTTTGAGACGTTCCTTCACCTAAAAAACAAAATGTTAAAAAGTATGCCATGAATAATATATATGTTTATAAAAAGTAAAAACCAAAACGGAAGTTTATTATATTAAACTCCACTTTAAAAGGAACTTCTTCACAATAATAACAGTAAAACAATAGAATAGTACTTTGAAGAATGTAAACTTACTTTTATACATTTATGTTTTTGTTTTGTATATGTTCACAGGGGTTTTATTTGACACGGGGTAATATAGATACAAATTATCACTCCTTCGGATGGTAATTCGCAGTTCATTTCTCTACGTTAAAATATACCTATGGTCAAACACTGGATTATAAATTAACTGTACACTTTTAATTACCAAAAATTACAAAAATCATCTAAAACAACAAACAAAAAATAAGTAGATAAAAATAAATCCACTCGAACACTGATGGCATTTTTTATCCCATGATCGTAACAAAGAAAAACAAACCTTGTGATGCACGAGATGCTATATAGGTTTTTTCTTCGCCGATTTACCAACAAAGATGCCTTAAAAACTAAACTTTTTTTATGAAAAAAATGTTTTAACAACGCATAATAATTAAGATAAAATAAATATAATTTCAGAAGTGACTTCTTTTCCTCTCTAAAAAAATGTTAGTAATGGGAACAAAAAATTAAATTTGTGACATCACATTATTGAAATATTTCATGTAATACTACATTTTATGTGAACTTTTAGACATAAAATGTGATATCAGGATGCTACAAATATGTAGCATGTAGTTTCATCAATGTTTAAGGCAATACAAAAAATATAAACTTTGAAATTAAAATCAGAATAAGAGCATGAATATGTTTTACCTACAAACTAAAAGCATCATAGTATCAGTTTCAATATTTACTGAGGAGAGGAGAAGCTTTGATTTGCAACAAGTGAGACCAAACTAAGTAATTTTCTATATTTTTAAAATAATCTACTTACACAAAGTTTCATAAGAAGAATGGCGATTCACTTCTTATTTTGAAACCTACAAAAATTTAGTCCAAGGTAATTTAGACAAAACGTCCCACGCCTCCTAAATACAATTTTTCTATAAATTTTGTTTCTTTTATGATAATCCCTATAAGTAAAAAAATATAGAAAATTCCAATCAGTGCGAAAAAAATGGTCCAAGGTTACGTCGACAGAATTTCCCTCGCCCTTGAAGTACAGTCCAACGAGTTCCGCTTCTTTGAAAAATATAAAAAAATTGTGTTTTCTGATGACCTTTATATAGTAACAACCAGTGGTGTAAATGAAAAATTCCAAGGAGGTGCCGTCCGCAGACATACGGACAATATGAAATATGTATATTCAAAGCAAGTAACCAACGGAAAAGAGTGTATTATTATCAGTGTGCATGCTTAACTTCGATTGTTTATGTTTATACATCGAAAGAATGTCACGTAGAAATTTGTTTAATTTGAATGAGTTGTCTTCTCAAAACAGAGGACTAAAATTATTAATTAAACGACAATGGAACAAAATGTTTTGAATGATTGTTATTATTTGATCATAATTAAATGAAGACGTGGGTATTCCTAAATTTGCTTGAAAATGAGGTTCATAATTTGATCAATAAAAAATTGGTCAAAGGCTGAAAGCATCATCCGACAAATCCAGCTCTTTAAAAACGTAAAATTTGATTTTACGATTTTCGTTTTTTGATAACCGCTGTAAAGTAAAAACCAGCAGCATAAATAACAGCCCCGTAGCCCCTGCGCCATGCGGACAATTTAATAGTACATTTAAAACATATAATTAACGGGATATAACGTCCCTCAGTACTAGGTAATAGCAAAGGTTTATTTCAGTAGAAAGGCAGATTTTGTCTTTCGTTCGAAAAAAAAAAGAAATCAATAAATTTATAGAAATGTTTTAGGATTATCATTTATTAGCTATGTACTAAACCATGGAATGCAACTTGGATGAAGAAAACAAACCTGACATAATTCTGGATTATAACTTGACCCAAGGTTGTGTGAATTCTGTAGATCAGAAAGTTCACAAGTAAAAAGAAAACGTGTTGATGGCCTCTAGATGTTATATTAGATGTAGCCGGTGTGACGGCAAATGTGATTTGGAAAAACTTACATCCCTAGGGGAATTCACAAAAAACATCTGCAATGAAGATTTTTCTCATAGATATGGCAGAAAATTTGATCATCGTGAGGAAAATAAATAGTACTCCTAGCTCAAAAGCAAAAGTTATCGACCAGTTTTTAGACATTGATGAACCAAAATCCAAGAGTCCGGAATGCCAGATTAGTGGTCAAGAGGAAGGGTCAGGGTCACGTATGTCCAAAAACGCGAGACCAGAATCAAAAGCAAGTCTCTCAAAAATGTGGACAAAATATGTACAACAAACATGAATTAAAAATTTGCCAAAAGTGTTTGTTGCGTCAGTGAAGATTATGATTGTAAAAATAACTTATAAAATAAAATCTTAATGATAACTGTTTTTAATAACTTTTCTTAATGAACATAATGAATATGTTTAACCAGTAGAGCAAAAAATCATTTAAAAAAGGTAAAAGTTCATAAAAATAAATAAATAAAACTAAGGGGTCCATTGGACCCTGACTGCCCAGATGAGCGTTAATTTTAGTGAGCAATCATAATTAATACAGTATTTTTTCATTGTAGGGCGTAGAAATAAAATCAAACTTATAACATAAATCTCCCACTTACTTTTCTTTTTTGCACTGGTAATTCCATTTTTTTATACAGTTCCAAATTTTCGACACCTGGCCAAACTTGTGGACAAATCGTTCCACAAAGTTGTGAAATTAATGTCAATTGTTGCTGTTCACTGTTTCCCTGCATAATGGGGGATCTGGTCCACATCTCGGCCATAATGCATCCAGCTCCCCACAGATCAACTGGAGGTCCATAATTTCTTTCTCCCAGTAACAGTTCAGGTGGACGATACCATAATGTAACAACACGATTTGTAAACCTAAAATAATGTATACAAAAAGATAATAACTTCTCATGTTTTATGTACCTATTTGGTACTCCATTTTTGCTGGTGCTAAACGCACGTGCTAATCCAAAGTCAGCCAACTTTAAGACTCCATTTTTAGTTATCAACACATTTGCAGCCTTCATATCACGATGTAAAATTTTATTGCTATGAATATAATATAGTCCATTAAATAACTGTTGTACAACTTTTTTAATTTCCCCTAGACTAAACTTGACATGCACGTTTGATAACAGACCTGCCAAATCATGCTCACAAAAATCAAAAACCAAATAAAATGTTGATCTGTATCTGTTTCGTTGTGATGCTTTTGTTTGGCAAATTTCTATAAGATTCACAACATTTTCGTGTTTAAGCAATTGTAATATCCTAATTTCACGTAAGGCTGTTATGGGAAACTAAAACGTTGATTTGTATAAATGTTGTTCATGATTTCTTCAGTACTTACACCTTCCTTTTCGTTATCCATCAATACTTTTTTCATTGCTACAAATTTTTTGGGGTTACTTTTGTCTCTGGCTTTAAAAACTTCCCTACAATGTTAACAATCATAACAACAGGTTCATTTGCCCAGTTCTCAACGGAATTATCTTACCCAAAAGTTCCTTGACCTATTTTGGCTATTTTTTCGTATTTGTCTGATTCATCACAAAATGGAAAGTTGAAATTTTCAATGTATTTTTCTTTTTCACGCATATTCATGGCGACAGCTTTGTAATTTTTAATACACCGATTTATTTGGTTCCATTAGCAAACGATAAAATTATAAAAATAAATGTACGTAACGTTAAAATATCAAATATGTAAATAACAACATCATTTTGGATTATTAATGTATAGTATTTTTATAATTACTAAAACGCAAACATATGATCTAACCTCTCGAAATTAATACAGGTGTTTACAACACCAAAGAACAAACTCACAAAATAACAAATCGACACAACGGATGATAACCTAACTTGAAAGACATTTAACCCGTTTTGGGGAAGTTTTGTGATCTGATGTTGGCGGCACTGGAGACGAATTTGCGCGCTTCCGCTAACGGTATTTAAATAGGGAGTGATATAAGTAATAGGGTCATCAAAATTGATTGAGAGAGTTGGTACCCCCTGTTTTTGTCGTGAAGTTTGTCAACCTTATGACAGATTTGTTTAAGGTTATATGGCAATGAATTCAGTGGCGTGACAAAAATTGAAAACTTCAAATCTGACAACTAATATTTTTACCAAAAAAAAAATCGAAAAAAGACGCCACTGAGTTTTGAAATTTGAAACTTGAAACTTCAAATCTGACAGCTAATATTTTTATACAACTTAATAAACCAAATTATTCAAGTTCAGGTTTACCAACTCTCTCAATCAATTTTGATGACTCTGTACTACCCATATATCTAATAGTACTATATTGCTAACTGGCCTCAAAAGATTCCGAAAACATAACGGTAGAGCAATATATCGGACCTCTCTGTCTCTCTGTGGTACTAAACAGTACTGCGCATGCACTCGTACTTGGTTGATTTGTAGTGGATAGCGTGACTGGATGCGTTTTGACATTTCCTACTTTCGCTTCTATTTTGTGTACATGCGCACAGACCCTCGGCACAGTAGATCCCTCGGTACTCTTATAGACAGAAAACAACATCTTCTGTCTCTCTCTGTCCGTGAACACTGTTTCTATGTTACTTCTGAAGAGCTAGCAATATAGTACTATTAGATATATGGTACTACCTAATAATAATAATAACATTTATATTAAAATGTACCAAATTAATCTAAATTATTGTGTAATTTGCAGTCATTGCACCTAAAATTGGTGGTATAGTTAATTTTAAACATAAATACACTCTGAAAAATATTAACATACTCGTAATCAAAAAATAAATAAACCTAAAAGTATTTAGTATTAAGTTATTAGAATGGTACTGTGATTGTTATATTTAACCGTGTCACATCTTATAGTGTCGTTAAATAGCCGGCTATTTTCAAAAATAGCTGTAATAGATGGATATTTATCCGAATATTTTCCGGTTATCTATTCACCAACAACACTAATCACTCTAATCACTCTAGAAACGGATCTCTGGGCACAATGAAACTTGACTTTTCGACATTTTAAATTTGGTGCCATGAAATTCACCAATCGAATGTGGTGGCTTGATTAAAAATATTCATTGTTGCCAATCTCTTTCATTTGATTGGTATGACTGATTCGGAGGACGACCTGGGAAATTTGAACAGGAGACCCGTATTTCATTTCCCCGTGTAATTCTTATGAACCAAAACGAGGTGTCACTATAATAAAGCTTAAACTCTAAAATTAAAGTATTTTTTTTTATATACGTATACCACTATCTATACCATTGAGACTGGTATTTTTACTGTTGATTTGGATACCAAACATAAATATAACTAGTGGTGTTTAATAAATATTTTAATTCAACTTTTACAACTGTATTTGCCCCGAACATATGTCGTACCGTGGTTCATACTGCCACTAATTTCGCCATCCACCACAGACCATCCACTTTAAACAATTTTTAATTTTCGAGACGGTACAGATACGGCAGTCAATTTAAAATCTTATACTATTAAACGAGCAAAGTTTGTATATATATATATATATATATATAAATATATATCTATATATATAATGGGTTTCTCGAAAACGGCTCTAACGATTTCGATGAAATTTACAGGTTGGGGTTTTTTTGGGTCAAGAAATCGATTGATCGTAGTTTTAACTTCTGAAAATTACAGCTTCATACATTTTCAGCAATTTTCAGGCAGTGAATTATATTTGTTGCTAGGCAACATCAGTTGACACTATAAGAACATGAGATTGTTTTATAAGAGAAGTTTGGGTGACAGTCTGACAGTACGTTTGACGTACCTTTTTATCTTCAATTGTACGTACCGAAACATACTCCACTGTATAGAGAACGTTAAAATTCACCTTCTGAGGTGAGAAAATTTACGGAAAACTAAACAGTGAGCGGATAAAAGGCACACGAAAGAGCGTTGAATTGAGGTTATTGTCAAGCATTCATTTCAGAGGTTCCACGGTCGGAGTGAAAATGTGATCGGTTTCCGGGATGGGACCGTGTTATTTGAGTTTTTGGGCTCAACGTTTCGCACACTTTCGTAAATGGCATCTTCGGGAGCAGGGTTGAGATGGAGAAATTAGGAATAACGCAAAAGAGCACGGTAACTCAGTATGTTAACCACACCAGAGGCGAAACTCTTCTGGCAGTAAGAATGTGGTTGTGACCTTTTTCTAGAGTCGAGAGAGAGAAAACTAGGAAAAAGAAAAGAACGACAGAGAGAGAACTTGGGTAACAAATGAGATTTTAATAAATGTCAAACAATAATTCCAGTTTTCTATTCTTTAATCTCTACATGTCACTCATCAGTATTTAAAACAAAGACTGCTTATGGAATTTCTTTTTTAATGTGTATTTTTAAGTAGCGCGTGTACTTCAAAATGCATACTATACCCATATTTATCTGTCCTAATCTGATCTAATACCACCAAACGAGCCGAGTGAAGCTCGGTCAACCAGATATTGATACATAACATAAGGTACATCTCTTATTTGCAAATTTTTCAATTCAATAACCAAATTTTGAATTAAGAATCATCATCAATCGTAAAGTTTTTCTTTTCAAACATTTTTGCTAGAAAAGGAAAAACTTAGCATTTGTTTCGTCTCATGCAGACTCGACCGATATCGGGTTTCGCCTCGGGTCGTACCGCCCTCAACCCTCGAGGGGCAATCTGGCCACTCGAGACATATGTGCCTTTAGTTCGTAGGAATAACTTGTAAAGAACACTTGTTTTGTTACTGTCTTAATATATACGCTAATTTAAGTCCACTGCGTATTTCTTTACTGCGAACTCATACCGACGGATAGTAACAAAAAATGGTCCTTCGAGCCGGATCGCGACGACGTGTGTAGTGAATTACAGGTGCCGAGCTTACGACGCGACGACGCCCAGGAAATACGACGGATCGAGCCCTCGGTGGTGACGACATCCTCATTTGAACTCCACACGGACATCGGCGCTATCCTCATCTACGCGTCAGACCAGGACGCCAAAACAGGGAACAACTGGTGCCGAGCTTACGACGCCACGACGCCCAGGAAGTTCAACGGATCGAGCCCTCTGCGGTGACGACATCCTCTTCAGCAGTTTACACGGACATCGACGTCCGCCACATCCAGTCGTCCAACCAGGACGCGGCAGCAAAAGAAGTACTGGTGCCGAGCATTCAACGCCACGACGCCCAGAACGCCCGACGGATCGAGCCCCCCGTGGTGACGACATCCCTGCGGAAGCTGCACATAATCACTGAAGCCACCCTCGTCCACGCGCCAAACCACAGGACGCCACAACAAAGGACAGGTCGGTGGTCATTATTCTTCCTGTCTTCTTACTTTTTCATTTATCTCCTTTGACGTACTCACCTCTTCCAAAATGACGGAAGCCAGTTTAAAAACAAAAAAAAGACAAGTACGTACGACTACCACGAATTTTGATAAATTTTTGAATACGATCAAATCTGCCGATCAAGTTAGGGTATTGTGTTTACGTTACGACAATTTTAAACCGCTATTAAAACAGTTTACTGAAGCACAAGATCAACTTGAATTATTAACAATTGAAAATGATGCCAATCCCGCCGAGCCAGACGAAAACGAGCGATTTGAATATGAAAACCGCTACTACGAATTGTGTTCAAAGGCGGAAGAATTAATCGATAAGTTCACAATTAAGGCATCTAGTAGTTCTACCGATATTAAATTGCCCACTATCGAGTTACCTCATTTTGACGGGGAATATACAAGTTGGACGGCCTTTTACGATAGTTTCCGTACCCTTATTCATGAAAACACCAACTTAGAAAAAATCCAAAAATTACATTATTTGCGTTCCTGCCGTGGGGACGAATCAAAGCGAATTATTGATAATTTATCTATATCCGCTCAAAGTTATGACACTGCTTGGCGATTACTCAAAGAGCGTTATCATAGTAAGCGCTTAATTGTTCACAATCACATCCACGGCCTTTTTAATTTAACACAAGTTAACAAATCTCCAAATTCATTGCGGACGCTTTTAGATCAGTTAAATGCAAATTTAGAGTCGCTAAAAGCTCAAAATTTAGATGTAACTAATTGGGATCCAGTTCTTATTTATTTGGTGTCCACAAAATTTGACTTTGCGACAAAACGGGAATGGGAATCAAAATTAAAAAACAATGAACTGCCAACGCTGAAGGAAATGACGACGTTCATATCACAGCGTTGCCAAACACTTGAATCAATGGAATTTTGCAACTCTTTCGAAGTAAATTCGGAAAACCCGCGGTACAACTTCACAAAATCTTAGTTTCCCGAAGTTAAACGTAAATTAACGATATGTCCAAAGTGTAAACAATCATCCCATTGTTTCGTACAACAATGTACGGCTTTTTTACAACTTAGAATCCAAGACCGCATTAACGAAGTAAAAAGGCTAAAACTTTGCTTAAATTGTTTACGCGAGGGCCACGACGCTAGATCATGTACCTCCCGGTATTGTAGAACCTGTAATGGCAGGCACCACACGTTACTACACTTACAAAAAAGGGAACCGCAAGGTGTAAATAACCATAGCTGTTCGACTGAATTTAAGTCACTCACGTTGCTTTCCACAGCCGTAATTAAAATTCGGGACGGTAATGGCCAGCTTCACAAAGTTAGAGCGCTTTTGGACATCGGTAGTGATAGTAACTTTATCACCGATAAATTATGCCGACTGTTAAAACTAAATTTAAATAAATGTCAGGTGTCTATTACGGGTATAGGGCAAACTAGTACTACTCTCACTCGGGCTGCAAAGGTCTTTATTAAATCAATTTGTGACAATTATTCAAACACAATCAGCTGTTTGGTACTGCCAGAAATCACCAATAATTTACCAGT